ATGACCTGTCACGTAAGCAAAACCGTTAAGTTTATGAGGGGGTAATTTGATTTATTTTTTATATATAATGAGGGACTCGTTTTAAACCATTCTGAAAAATCAGGAGCACTTTGAAATAAGGTATATATTTCGGGGGACATTTATGAAAATAATCCTTATGAAAAAGGAAACTCAAAATAGACTACACCAGCTTGTGGGTATATCCATATGAAAAAGGAAACTCAAAATAATCCTTATGAAAAAGGTTTTCTTGATGTAAATTTTTCGTAATGAGGGATTTGTGAAATTCGAGAGAGTTGTAATCTCCATGGATTCAACAAGAGTATAGATCGAATTTTTTAAGCGGAGTTCGTGAGGACCATAATTGGTCGAACATCGTTAATAATTATGCTAAAAAGTTTTTCCGTTAACTTTAAACTTTTATTTATTTTTGCATAGCTTTTTTTATATTAATGTACAATATTCATTGAAAGCTAACTGGCAAAAAGTACAAAGGATTTTCGCATAGTTAAACAAACTTGATCATGTTCATTATCATAATATTTCTATCACCATAAAATATATTGCACTTTAAGTTTTAACTCTTTTTATATAATGCCTATTAAGCCATGACATCTTTAAAAAAAAAAAAAACGTATACATTTTGAAAGTTTAAAACTATTCTTATTTAATTTATTATTTCTTTAATAATAACAAAGTTAAAGTTTAGGCACTACAGTACATTCTCGTCGTAATAATTTGTCCACAGACGTCAACACAAGCTAGATCACAGTCGATTTAGTAAGCAATTTTGGCAAAGCCATAAGAGGAAACTTTCTGTGCACGGTTAAACCACTTGTCTCTGTCATATCCAAGTCCTCCCCTCTTGCTCCATCAGGAAGTTGCCAATCAAAATTGTGAACGACATTGGCCAAAGCAATTTCGTTAACAGCCATGACAAAGAGAATCCCTGGGCAACCACGCCGCCCGGCACCGAACGGAATCAATGCGAAGTCCTGCCCTTTGTAGTCCACAACGCTATTGAAGAATCTCTCGGGTTCGAACTTCTCCACATTGTCCCACGTCCTCGGATCTCTCCCTATCGCCCATGCATTGATGAAAACTTGACACCCGGCTACGACGTCGTATCCTTTTATCTTGACGTCTTTTCTTGACACTCTTGGAACTAGTAGTGGGACAGGAGGATGTAACCGGAGGGTCTCTTTGAATACTGCCTTCAAATAAGGCATTTTCTCTAAATCGTCCTCTGTGACGCCTGTTTTATGACCAACGATTGTTCTCACCTCGTTTTGAAGCTTTTTCATTGCCTTTGGATGCCTAAGGAGCTCAGTCATTGCCCACTCTAGAACTGTGTATGTGGTGTCCGTGCCAGCCGCAAACATGTCCTGCAAGAGCCGTACACACATATATATACTTTAGACAATAGTGCTAGAGACGCCAATTTTAAAGATTATCACTGTCATGTAAATTTATAAAATAATATATTTAAGGTTGGTTTTAAAATTTATGCCCCTAATACTATTAAAAAAATAAAAAAATTATTCTCACCGTTGTCTCCTGAATTTTAAGGTTATTTTCAATTTGTTCTCTAAAATTTAAAAACTCTCACTTTACCTCCTAAACTTTGAATTGTTCTTACTTAACCCCTTTTATTGTAATTTTTGTTAAAATCGGATGGAAAGAGACAGGGTTAAGTGTAGTCATGTAGTTTTTATCTGTTTTATTTTTTTAACTAAAATTCAAACAGAAAGACCACGCGACTGTGTTATTCTTTTTTTTTATATTTTTTTAACAGAAATTGCAACGTAAGAGGTTAAGTGGAAATAATTCAAAGTTTAAGGGATAAAATGAAAATTTTTAAAGTTTATGGGGCAAACTAAAAATGACCTTAAAGTTCAGGAAGTATGATTTTTTTTTTTTTCTGAAGTTTCATATTTTCATCACTAAAGCTTTTCATATGTATTTAAATCTCATGTTAGATTAGCGTGTAGTATCTCACGGATTGGTTACCACTATTGAAAATTTCATATACTAAGGGCAAGAGAAATGATGTAGACTCGTGTGAATTTCCTCTATTTTTCAAAACCTCTTACTAAAGTCACTGAAAATGTCTTTCAAACCCATAAACTAAGGCATACACTGATTTCCATCACATCTCCCCCCTCCCATCTTTGAGACAAACAATATTAGTGCCCTCCATATATACCCTTCGAATAAATAGGGGCGATCACGTGAGATAAGCAATATAACATGACCAAAAGAAAAAAAAAAAGACAGAACATTTGAATTTAAATGTCTAAAAAAAATAAAAGAAACCAAAGCACAACATGGAATAAGAAATTAGTTGGGACTAGTGGAAAAAAAAAGTACATAGTTTGCCATATTTTGTGGGTGTTTATTATTTATATCATTCTAAATAATTGTGTCATTGAGACTTTTTATTTTCTTTTTATCAATTGAATGACAATTGTTTATTTTTTAATAGAGTGTCGAAAATAATAATTTTTACCATCTTAAGTGGTACTTTTTATTTTTTCCACAGTTCTAAACAAAATTAAAAAACAACAAGGGTAATTTTGACAAAAACCCCTTAAAATAGTACCATTAAGGATTTTTGAGTTTCAACATTAGCCTATTAAATTTTTCCCATTGGAGAAAGTAATTTGACAGATTATTATCGATAATTTGACAGATGTCGCCGGCGGCGGGTCTCTGGTCGCCGGTGGCGGACGTAATTTAACATATTATTGTTTAAAATTTGACAAATTATTATTTATAATTTGACAGATTATTATCAAAGGGGTAGCTTATCATAGTAAAAGGGTAGAACTTCGAAGGATGTATTTAAAGGTCTGTTTTTGTAATTTCTCAAAAAAAAACAAAAAAAAAAACAAAACAAAAAAACAAACAAACAGAGAGAAAGGCTTACCAAAATGAGAGCCTTTATGCAAGTTCTATCGATAGGAAAGCCCAACAAGTTCTCCTTCTGAATCCAAAGCAAAATATCCACCAGATTATCCTTGTGCCGATCTTCATTCAGGTCATCAACATGTTCCTTATGTTCTTCAACAACTTTCTCCAAAAACTCATCAAAATCCTTAGCCACCTTATCCATTCTACCATACAATCCATTAACATGGCTCAACCAAGCAAGCATCGGAATATAATCCCCAACGTTGAAAATCCCCAACAACTCCCCAACCCCCCCGAGAAGCTCCTTAAACTCCCTTCCACTCTCGCCATCATCACTGTACTTCCTTCCTAAAGCAACCCTACAAACGACGTCATTTGTAAGCCCGGCGAAAAGCTCGCTCAAATTCACGGCCGAAGAAGAAGAGCAAGAGTTGTGAATTTTGTCCGCCATGAGCTTGGTCTCCTCTTCTCGCACGCCGCGGAACGACTTGACCCTAGCGTTGCTCAGAAGGTGGAGAACGCATGTGCTTCTCATCTGCCGCCAGTACTCGCCGTAGGGCGCCGACGAGACGTCTTTGAAGTCGTAGAGAAGCTTCTCGGAGGAGGCCATCCTCGGCCGGTCGCAGAAGGCGAGGTCGTGCGTCTTCATGACCTCTCGGGCGGTATCCGACGAGGAGACCACGAGGACCGGCACGCTGCCGAGGCGGAGCAGCATGAGGTCATCTCCGTGGCGGCGGCTTAAGTCGCGGAGGGTTCGGTGAGGGTAAGGACCGAGCTGGTGGAGGTTTCCGATTATCGGAATAGACCGCGGAGACGGCGGCAAGTTCTTGTTGTTGGTACTACTACTCTTATTGGAGGACCATAATTTGTAGAGAATGACGGGGAAAATTATGCCTAATACGATGGTAATTAAGGAAGAGGGATTGGAAAAGTTGTCTTGTAATAGTGTTTTCAACATGATTTGCAGATGAAAATCTCGTTGGACGGTTTGGTTTGTCAAGTTTTTTTCGTTGCGTCTGCGTACGCAACTTTGTCTTTAAGTCGAGATATATATATACTGTGTGTGTGTGTGTGTGTGTGTGTGTGTGTGTGTGTATATATGTAAGTATGTATTGCAGAACACACGTGAATAATAATCATACACGTATCTAGTTACAAGGCACCAAGTGGCAGTGACTTCCAAAAAAACCAAGTGGCGGACATTGGAAGGATGAGTTCAAATCTCCTTTTTCTGTCACTTTGCTGCAAAACTTCAATGAGTGGTTAGATTTATGTCGAAACTTATTTAAAAATGTTCTATTATTTCATTCACTCATCTCATGTATTCACGTTTTCAACGCGTGTTTAAATATAGATTCTAATTTTATTTTATGTTTAGATTAATTATACTTTAACTTCATATTCAAACAACCGTTCCGTTTTGCAGTTTAATTAGCATATGGAGTCCTATTTTTTTGGTGTTTTGTATACCACGTATACAAGTAGGGGTGAAATTCGGCCGGGTAGGATCGGATTTTTGGTAAGATTTGGACCGGCCCTCAAGAATCGGGTTCAGAAAACTGTGGGCCGCAACAGGTAACTTGGATCTAGAACCTGTACACCATTCAGTTACCTCGGATCGGCCAGGTTATTTCGGGTAAACCAACTCCAAATTTCTTGCTTCTTTGCTGCTTTGCCACAGGTAAATCAAAATAAGAACGTTAATGTCAGGTAAATGAATGATAGACCAAGGAAAACGATAACCACAAATAATTGAAAAAATTAAACATAACATCGAATATTATGAGCAACTTCGATCCAATATCAAAAGTAAAACAAAAAAAAAATGAAAATGAGAGAGGAAGAGTATGAGAGCGAAGCCTCTGCTTCTAACATTCAATAGTAAGGGATTCTGTGAAAAGAAGAAGAGGAACGGCGGCGGAGGTGACTGGTGAGGACTGAGGAAGTAAGAACAAATGGCGAGGGAAAGACTACGGAGGAACGGAGCAGAGGCGAGGCGAGGCAAGGAGAGCGGCGCAAAAATGAGAGAATGAGAGAGAGGGAGAAGACTTCAAGACCTAGGGTTTTTTTTTTTTTTAAGAACGCCCTTACTTTTGCAATTCGGCCGGGTCGGGGTATAATCGGGTCTTGGAGGCCCGGCCCGCGCCCCTATCCGCAAATTGCGGGTTAACACTATTTGAAACCGGAAAACAAAAAAAAAACAAAAAATGAAGTATTCAGTTCGGGTGGGCAGGTTAATCGGGATTGGGGCTAATTCTTACACCCTTATATACAAGCATTCATTTAATTAGGTCATTAAATATTGACATAAACATATCTATATCGATAAATGTTTGATTATGAATAGTTTATTAACAAAAAAATACCCTAAAGGAAAATATATTATAGAAAATAATAAATGCAAATTTTAAAAAAAAAAAACTTTGTTATGGGGAAAAAGACATTGATGGTGGTAACTTGATATTTTTTTTAAAAAAAAAAATTAGTTTTTCTTTATCTTTTCCTTTTTCCCTTTTCAATAGTAAAATCAATAATTGATAAGGTTAGAGTATAAATTTAGGGTGTTTACACATTTGCTCCTGAACTTCTAGGATTTTAGCAACTTACGTCCTGAACTTTTAATTTTTGTAAGCTGTCCTCTCAATTTGTAAAATTGTTATAATATTCCCCATTTTAATGATGTTGTATTAAATTAGTGTTTAAGCAACACATTCGATGAAAAGTTCTAACATCACAATTCAAATGTACGTAACACAAATCTTTAAATTTAATACACAAGTCCTAATATATATTTAAGGATTATTATCATTTATGCCTCTGAATTTTATGGTCATTCCTAGTTTCCCCCTAAAACTTTAAGAACTCTTACTTTACCCCCTTAAATTTTGAATTATTCCCATTAACCCAGTTTATTGTAAATTTGTTTAAAAACATATAGAAAAAATAGAGTAATGCAGTTATATAGTCTTTCTGTTTAAATTTATGTTAAAAACAATCAAATAAAAACTACATGGTCACACTTAACCTCGTCTTTTTTCACTAATTTTAGCATAAATTCTTATGAAAAGGCTTAATAGGGCAAATTCAAAGTTTGATGGACAAAGTGAGAGTATTCAAAATTTAGAATGTAAAGTGAGATGACCTCAAACTTCAGGAGGCACCAGTGAAATTAATCATATATTTAGGGGTTGTTCGTTTCCACCCAAACTCAAAAAAAGTTTGAACTCAAGTTACAACTTTATTCAAGTTCATGTTCTTTTGTAAAATTTGAGTTTGAACTTGAGTTTTAACTTGAATTTTAACTTGAGTTTGGAGTTAAAATCTGAGTTTAAGTTTTTCCTTCAACTCAAGTTCCTAAACTTAAACTCAAGTTAATGAACAATACTTTTTCTATTCTTAAAAATGCTATAATTTTTTCGTTTTAATTCCGATTGAGATGATTCTTCTCTTATGCGTTCACAATGAAAACGATATAAGTTTGCCCAAACATTGGTTATGACCGAGTTGTTGAAATCTATGGCCGAGTTCAAGAACCTCTCATGCTTAAACTCCTCCAATTCGTCCCACAAGGCGGGATCTCTTCCAATTGCCCAGACATTGGTTATGACCGTGGTCCTTGCCGCTATGTCATAGCCCATTATTTTGGTGTCTTGCCGTGATTCTCGAGGAACTATCAATGCAATTAGGGGATGCAACCGAAGAGTCTCTTTGATTACAGCTTTCATGTAAGGTGTTTTGTCGAGGTCACTCTCAGATATGTATGATTTTCCTTTGGCCATGCCAGTCACCTCCTCTTGCAATTTCTTGAGGATTTTTGGATGTCTTAAGAGTTCTATCATTGCCCATTCTAAGGCTGTGTAGGTCGTGTCACTTCCACCAGTAAACATGTCCTAAACTGTGGCGACCCTGCTCAGTGGCCGTCACTGTAGCTGAATTTTAACTCGTACTTACTGAAGTTTTCTTAGAATTTACGGAACATTTTTTTTTAAAGTCCTATAATAACATATACTATGAATTGTGAAACATTCAAACCTTAATATATATATATATATATGATTCTCAAAACATGTAGATATATCTATATGTATATACCTACTCTTTAAATCCTGCTTACTAATTGCCATAATCCACAAAACCATTTAACATATAGTTTCAGAATAATAATTAGTAAAACTATTTATAACATAAAACTGATTACGGAAATATTTGCTAGCGGTATCCATTTTCTGATCTCCATATCGTTCGTCCACTCGCCGTCAGTCCATCAGGCATTATATGCCAGTTGCTTACCTACAGTATAAACATTCTATAATGAGCTTTCGCTCAGCAAGTAGGAACTATCTCTCGCAAAAATAATTATTAAGTTCACATGAATAAATATGCATGAACTGATTATGCTTAATTTTGATGTCTTATCATAGTCTTATTATCTTATCTTATTTTTCTTACTGATGGGCCCGAGTGCTCGTACGACTTACGCGCAATCATCGGGACGTGAGGGTTTGTAAGGTCCCCCATGACACCGTGATTATAACTGAACTGAATGCCTCCCTCTCAGAGGAAATTATTTTTTTTTCTTCTCCCTTGGGAGCCTAAGCCACCTCCCTCTCAGAGGCTGGTACGGCACTCAACTGAGATTATTCTTATAAGTTCTTCTTGACTTATTAAGGTGTATGAAATATGACATAGCATAGCATACTATAACATGAAATGTACTCAAACACATATAATTAGTGTGCACTGCTTAAGTGTATGCAACATGACATAGCATCGCATACAATACTGAAAGCATAAACATGCATATATAACATGTGTAACTTTCTCTTTAAAATCTATTCATACTGTAGGCGAGATTCCTAGTTACCTGATTTACAGAGCTGGCATTCACTTTTCGCCAAACAGCCTAGTCTCTTACTTGCTTACTTCTGAAAATGAACACCCATTAAGAGTGTGAGATTAACTGTCGTTTGCTATTTTATTTTAGCAACTTATGAAGGAAAATCTAACCCTTTTCATAAGGCATGTATTCCTCTAATTTACTAAAGGATAATAAGGATCAATTTATTAAATTCTCAAAATCTTATTTTTCTTAATTGACATTAACATCTATTTGCCTAGATTGAAAATCAATTACCCAATCTAGTAATTTATCCTCCATAATCTACCTCATTGGACTTGTTATGCCATTAAGGCCCAATTCGGCCTTGAACTTATTCACGGCATTCTAACTCTTAGGACGTTAAAATTTAAACTCAAACGGGGTCTCTTGAATGAATGCGAGCGTTGGACCCACATCCAATCTTTAGAAATCCTAAGGTCCTATCACATTGGGCTTATTGGCCCGTCGGGATGATTTGCTCGATAAACCATTAAATTCTTTAAAAGAAAGCATTTTTCTTGAAAACTTTCTTTACGAATACTTTTGTTAAACGAGGTTTAATACCATAATATTTTGCTGAAATCACACCTCGGGTTCTTTGATAATTTTTTATTAAAAACCAACACTGTGTCAGTTTCGTTTTGTTAAACCGTGCAATTTCTGACATCTGCATTTTACTGCATTTTAGAGTCAGATTTCAAAATTTTGTTCTTTGCGACAATTCTTCGTCTCGTGGAGATCTAAAATTGTCATTTTTGGTGAAAGTTAAAATTCAGCCTTTAAAGGCCTCGTTTGGCTGAAAACATTGGCTACTGTTTTTTTTTTTTTTTTTTTTTTGCTGTAGGAATGCTATAGCAATATTTTTAAAATGTTGTAGGAATGTTATAGCAATGCTGTAGCAATTTTTTAAAATTGTGTTGGATAGCCTGTCCATTTTTATAAAAATGGCTTCAAACTTACTTTTAGAGTTAAATTTAGGTTTTGTCATAGTCACAGAAAACGTTCAAAACATCGAGAACTATAAGTTCAAGTTTAGAAATACTGAAAAATCTCATTCTAGGGTCCTCATTTTTACATTCAAAGTAACCGGATATTGCTAATCAAACTAACCTCAACACTCACAAAACCAACATAAAACCCTTATTACAACTCATTTCCTCAAGAATCACAAATTACATCCATAAATTCAACCTTAAAGTTGGTTAGAAAATAATGGAGAAGAGTTTGAGAACTTACCCTTGAAGAACTCTCTCTCTTGAAAACCCTTGAACTCTAAGATTTATTAATGGCTTGGAACTAGAAGAGTATAAGGAAATTTGAGAGGAATGTTTCTACATTTCAAACTTTACTAAAACATGAGAAAGAGAGGATTTAGAGTTTATACCCTTGGAGAAATGCTTGACTAGACTCCTCCTAGAATCATTTGATCTCCTTCTTCTTCCTCTATTGCTTGCTAGTGGTTTAAGATTTGGAGAATGAGAGAAAAATTTTGAGAGTATGGGTGTAATGTGTGTGGCAGGTTTTGGGGTGGAGAGAAAATGAGAGGAGTAAAAAAAATGAGGCTTAGCTTATGGTGGTTCCTTTTATAGACAAGTTAGTGATCATTTATTTAACCCCAATTCACTCTATTAATCAACCAAATTTTAGTTCAAATTCCCCATGCATGGCCGGTTATAGATGGAGAAAAGAAGGAGTAAATATGCCATGATTTCCCCTTCAACTACTACTATCACATCACCTTACCATGAAATCCTCTAGCACACTCAACTAGCCAAGTTTTGCTCTAATTTCACTATGCATGGCCGGCCAAGTGGAGAGAGAGAGAAAAAAATATAACCTACCCCCTTGTACTTTTGGCCACTCACTCAAGTTTTCCCTTAAAACTGATCAAAATTATACTCGCTGTAATTTTTTCATGTATATATATACTGGATGCTAATTTGTATTGTGCTTGGAGATTCTTGGAATTAAGATTCTCAAACTGTATCTGTACTGAAAATTCTTCCGCCTTAAAGTACGGCGAGAATTTAATCGATCGAATTTACTTGATCGTAAAACATGTACTTAACATGAAATCTGCTACAGAATTTAGAAATACAATTGTTAATTCCGTAAATCCTTCAGTCATAAAAATATAACATAATATATTTTTTTCTAGGAAAAATTCTTGACCTAAATACATAAATTGCATTATTTAAATTCTGGAATTTTCTTGGTCATTACATAAACCAACAAAACAAAGGACATCAAATGAGGATAACCAAAGTTAACAAGACATTTATTAAATAAAAATAAAAATCACAAGATACACCATTTATTTCCAATTTTCCACACTCTAGCAAATTCTTTCTCGTGATCGAACGTTATAGGGAGATGTGTTAAATTTATTTGTTAGTTTTTTTCTTTCTTTAAAAAAAAAAGGTCTGGAATTGCAACGGATAATGGAAATTGACCCTAAATATTAGATGATAGAGCCTTCGAGATTGTTCTTCACTGTTATACACCACCATCGGTAATTAAAATGTTATTATTTATTTATGTTTCTCAAGGACGCTAATATTATTTGTTAGTGAATGAATGCATTTTGAAACTAGTGTTACACCAACTCTATGTTGCCCCTAAATATATTATTTAGGCCATACAAAGATAATATGATATTGGCCGAAAAGGTAATTACAGTATATATTTTCAAGCAATTAAAGATATGATTGGGATGATTAGCAAAAGATATGATTAGGGCAGCGCATGAATTTCACCGTTGAAAAGAATGACAATGAGATAAGATATTGCAACTTGTAAGAAAGGAGAAAAAAGACCCAAGGGATCACGGGCTTTTGATAAGGTTGGAAACTTCGCAGTAATTAATTATTGACAGCCACAAATATATGGGAGAAAGAGGGAAATAGGCCAAGACTTGAGATGAATTAAAATTAATAGGCCAATAGTTTACATAAGTTAATAAATAGGTTAAATTACTGTTTTCGTCCATAACTAGTCTGGTTATGAACCATAACTTGACAAATTATTGTCCATAATTGTCCATAACTTGTCTGACTATGAATCATAACTTGACAAGTTTATCCATAACTTATCTGGTTATGAACCATAACTTGACAAGTTATGGCCTATTAATTTCTATAACTAAAAATTGGCCTATATACTTTCTTAAGCTTTTCATATTGACCTATTTTCTACTATTTTCCCAAATATATTTATGCTCAACCCACCTAAATATCCTCAGCCACATACATACGTGTGAACCAGATCATAGCTTTATGTTCAACTAATATTTGAGACGTCTAAATTTAGACAAATGATTGCCATCCATTAGCAACCTTCCAAAGCCAATAGTTCACTCAAAATCACACAAACATAAGTTCATATGTACTATGTAAGATTAAAATAATGACTTAATCACGACTTTTAGATTATTTTGTATCAATGATGATGAATATAAGGTATTTTCTTATTGAAGAAAAGATCTTCACGATTATGCGGGACAGCTATTAATTGCTCATTCACCCGCTTTGACCTTAGGACACTTTGTTATGTGATGTGGGATTGGGCCGATGTATCCCTTTGTTTGTGTTCACTTCGTGTTCTTTTAATAAATTTATTATACGATTAAAATATCACATTAATTAAAATATCACGTCATATTTAATTAAAAATCATAATATGACATGACATCACTGAGAACACGAAAATAGATAGAAAAAATAAGATTATGAGCCCAATTCATGTGACGTGATACAATTCTCAGCGAATATTGTCATACATCAACCTCCGCAATTTTATACCTTAATTAGTTAATTAATTAATCAATTTTTGCTTCTTTATTTTATTTTTATAGGAATTGCTTCTTTAATTTGATCTTTGGAATCGTCGGCCGGATGTTTAAGGCGTACTGAAGCAGTTTATCGCTCCGGTTAAAACTAAGCATGTCCTTTTGTGTTCTGTATAAATACACACGCTAATCAACACAATCATATATATTGTGTGTATATAGAATATATTCAAGAAAATAACAATATTTAATAAAAAAACAAAATTAATCTTCGGCTCGTGGTTTAATTTCATTTACCGAAGTAGATTTTGCATCATTATTGATCCGATTAAAACTAAGCATGTGATATTTTTGTCTTTTGCATTAATATTTGCTGTAATACATACGATAATCAACACAATCATTTTGTATTGTATATATAGAATATATTAAAAAAATAAAATATTTAATAAAAACAAAATGCTTCAAGACGTGGTATAATTTCATTTATCGAAGTGGCTTCCTCTAGCAACAAATTAACGGGAAACATCATGAATGGCTTTTTTCTTTTTTCTTTAACCCACTTTAACCTTTTTCTTAATTTTTTTTTAAAATTGTTAAATTGTCTCCTCATTTTGTATATAATATACATTTGTTTGGGAGAGTTTTTACTTTTACTTTTAATCAGTAGATAAAGAGTGATAAAAACTTTGACTTTTTCATAAGTATTTGGAATAAAAGAGCTTAATGGGTCAAAACAATTTTTAAATTTTCTAATAAATAATAAAAGTGTTGAAATGAAATTTACAATGTTCTAATAAAACTCTGGTACAAATTTTAAAATTACTTTAAAAATGTTTTATTTAGAAACCATATTTTATAGCTTTAACTAAAAGCAATTCTAAAAAGCTGAAATACTTACGATAGATCATCTAAATATTACACAACTTTTGGAGCCAAGAAATCAAAACCAACTTTTAAGAAGCTCTTGCAAAAAAGCCGCAGCTTGACAACCACGGCTAAATTTTAATGGAACAACATACTGCATGTGTAACGTGCTTCACTATGATAACCCGAATCAAAATTATAGTCTTTGCCCTTCAAACGAGCTACCTGATTGCCCACAATATTTTCATCCAAATTATTTAACCGTCCTAATATTTTGCAATATTTTATTGATATTAAAAATAATTTATCAAATTAAAAGTTGAAGTGACAAGTCAATTTAGCGAATAGTTTGAAATCCGGCATTGTTCTAAAAAAAAAAAAAAAAAAAAAAAAACTGAAAGTTTGAACTAGAAGAAGTGTCAAATACACAAACAATATTTAAAAGTAATAAGTTGCTTTCGATTTGTATTTCTTTATCGAGCTGTTTTTGTCCTATACATTTTTTTCTAAACTACTATCTTAAGTTCAATGAAACAACGTGAACGCACAGAATCACACCAAGTATATAAAAAAAAAAAGGTTCCTATTTTTTTAGTTAGAATTATACCACTATATGTCTATATCATCTATTCTTAGCGCTTTTATATACATACATACATCCATACACATAAGGAAGACACATTTTCCACTTTCTTTTGAGAAAAACTTCCACATGAAAGAAAAATTTACTTAAGTTCTTTATATGTAGTCCCGGTGTCAATGACATGGTAACAGTCAAATATAAATAGAATATAAAAATACGAAATGGACAGCCCATGTCGTTTACCAATGGGCGTAGCCACGCATTTATTTATTGAGCTGTCGCCACTCGTAATTTAGATGGTGTCGTGATCGTTTCTATAAAAAGAGCGCCTAGATTTTTTCAACAACATTTTTTTAAGAATAATTTCATCGTGTTCCACATGGGATATCTTACTCATGCGCACATGGCGCCACGTCATCGTTGATAGCGGCCAAGTTTGACTACAAAAATATCGTACGCATGTCCACATGGGACGCACACAAAGCGGATTACATGAATCTTGATCGATTTAGCCACAATACTTGAATATTTCTTATGCATTTTATATTATATATTAGTCTAGAGCCTCGTTCATTTCACCGATTCGAGTTTTTAGTTTTAGGTTTTTACAGTAAAAAGCTCTCAGAAAATGTCACATCTAACTTTTTTTGCTACAGTGAAAAGCTCTCAAAAAATGTCACATCTCAGCTCGAATTGAAAACTCGAATCCGCGAAGTGAACGAGGCCTAGATCTACATCACAGACAAAAGTTTCCGTGGACTTAAAAATAATGATTTTTTTTTTAAAAAAAAGTCAAGCACGAAACTACCATGGAAACTAAAAACTAATTAAAAAAATTTAAGCTACGTTTGGTTGGAGGATTCAAACCATAATTTGAATCATGGTTCATAGTTCGCTACAGTATTTTATCTCACAAAAAATACACGTAAATTAAAAATGATTCTAATAACATGATTCTAATCCATAAACCAAACATCTCCTTATTAATTGAAAAAAGTTAATTAATTAAGAAACTCTGGATCATTACAACAAAAACAAAATGTAATGTTTTACTCAATTAACTAGATATGATAAAGATTTGGAACTGGGTTAGAGTGTATTTTTTAATGTTAAATTAAACATCAAAATAAAGAAATTTTAAAGTAAATTTTTCTTTCATGTGGAAAATGTGTATGGATGTATGTATGTATGTATATAAAAGCGCAGAATCATATATATATATATATATATATATATATATATAAATGAATGTGAGGATGGACAAATTATAAGGAAGACACATTTTCCACTTTCTTTGGAGAAAAACTTCCATGGCTCTCCTTGATAATTATTGGCCACTGGTTCCCACCATTTTTCTTCTAGTTTTGCTTAAGTTCTTTATCTTCAAGAAGAAACCAACAAAACCAGAATTCAATCTCCCACCAAGCCCTCCAAAACTTCCCATCATTGGAAACCTTCACCAGCTCGGAAACAACCCTCACATCTCTTTCCATCACTTGGCACAAAAGTATGGTCCAATATTTTACATGGAATTAGGTCAAATCCCAACAGTGATAATTTCGTCTGCTAGACTAGCGAAAGAAGCACTGAAAACCCATGATCTCGCTTTCGCAAGCCGTCCCAAACTCATCGCGGCCAAGTACCTCTTCTACAATTGCACTGACATGGGTTTCTCACCTTATGGAGCTTATTGGAGGTACATTCGGAAAATATGCATACTTGAGCTACTCAGTGCCATGAGGGTCCAATCTTTCAGCTTTGTTAGAGAAGAAGAAGTTGCCCGTCTTGTTCGTCGCCTCGCGGAGCCTTATCCCCGAACGGTTAACATGAGCAAGATGCTAGGGCTTTACGCAAATGATGTCGTTTGCAGGGTGTCTTTCAGGATGGACTTTTCGGAAGGAGGAGACTTTGATCAGAAGGGCTTCCAAAAGCTGCTTCAGGAGTTTCAGGAGTTGCTAGGAGGACTCAGCGTTGGAGATTTCTTCCCTTCTATGGAGTTTGTGCTCAGTTTGACGGGTATGAAATCAAGACTTGTGCACACCTTTAAGCGGTTCGATGAAATTTTTGATCAGATTGTGGCCGTACATCTCAATCCCAAGAGAGAAAAAGAGGAGACTAAAAAGGATCTTGTGGATGTTTTGCTTGATATTCAAAGGAATGGATCTGGGGAGATGCCTCTCACATTGGATAATGTCAAGGCTCTTATCCTGGTAATTATACTAAATATAACTTTTTTGTCTCCTTTCTTTTTTTCTTTTTTTTTTCTTTTCCTTCCTAAATTTTATCAAGAATTCAGATATGTAAACAACATAACCAAGATTTTATCATAATTTTCTACAGTACAGTTATTTTGGTCTCATACTGACATTGCATGTTTTTAACCGTTGTGCCCTGTTAAAATCAAATCAAAATAAAAACGTATACATAATAGATAGTATTTTATACAAACATAAACTACTAATAATACTTTATTTTTTCAAATCTTACTGTAAAATGTTACTTTCTGTTAGCAAAACAACCTCTGCAAATCCAGTTAAGACAAGAAAAGAAAAACACTCACGGAAACGATCTAGACACACCAAGAAGAAGAAGAATATTTTCTGGAAAGAACCTCAACACTTTATTAACAATCAAGAATACAATCGTTTGTACAAATCTCTTCTCTTCTCACAGAGCCAAGACTCCCTCTCTAAAGACTCTTTCTCTCTCTAGAACCGAGTAAAGTCACAAAGAAGATCTAATCCCTTATGTACAATTAAATCCCTAACTGAATACCCTTTGGATAACCCCAAAACCGACTCTGTTAGCCTATGCCAAATTGCTGTAACCAATTTGACCACGTGTCTTGGTCCTTTGTCTTAAGTGCTGAGTCTAGTAGCCACACACGTCTTCAACAATTCTCCACCTTGGCTTGACTTTTACTTTTCCATCACCTGAAGTAGTTTTAGGCAATGTTTGAACTTCTGACTGGCCAGTGACTTTGTGATCATGTCAGCTAGATTTTCCTCAGTTGCAACCTTCTCCAACTTGACTTCTCCCTTTGAGATTATCTCCCGTACAAAGTAGAGCCTCACATCTATATGCTTCGTTCGCTCATGGTACACCTGATTCTTTGCCAAATGAATCCCACTCTAACTATCACAGAACACTGTTGTAATTGTTCTCTGTGCACCCAACTTTGTTGCCATTCCTCTCATCCAGATTGATTCCTTTATTGCCTCTGTGACAGCAATAAATTCAGCTTCAGTGGTAGAGAGTGAGACTACATGTTGGAGATTTGCCTTCCAACTCACAGTATTACCACAAAATGAGAACACATATCCAGTCAAAGATCTCGTTGTATCCAAACAACCTGCATAATCGGAATCCACAAATCCAGTCACTTTGTCAACACTCTCCTCATGTCGTTTATACATCAATCCTACTTCAGTTGTTCCCCTGAGATATCTAAGCATCCACTTTACAGCTTCCCAGTGCATTTTCCCTGGTTTTCCCATGTATCTGCTGACTACACTCACAGCATAAGCCAAATCTGGACGTGTGCAGATCATGGCATACATAAGACTACCCACTGCACTTGCATAGGGTACGTTTGCCATAGAAGCTGCCCCTTCATCAGTTGTTGGTGAATCACTCATCGAAAGCTTGAAATGTTGTGCCAGTGGTGTGAGAACTGGCTTTGTATGCTCTATCTGGAACCTTTTTAACACCTTCTTTACATAATCTCTTTGAGAGATGAAAAGTGTTCCTGCTTTCCTGTCTCTGATAATCTGCATACCCAATATCTTGCTAGTAGGACCCAAATCCTTCATTTCAAATTCACTCTTTAGCAACTGCTTCATCTGCTCTATCTCAGTCTTGTTTTTGGATGCCACCAACATGTCATCTACATAGAGTAACAAGTGAATGACAGTGTCCCCATCAACCACTTTGCTGTAGACAAAATTGTCATATTCACACCTGTAAAAACCGTTTGTCACCATAAAAGAATCAAATCTTTTATACCACTGCCGAGGTGATTGTTTAAGTCCATATAAGGACTTTTGCAATAGACAGACTTTATCCTCATCACCCCCTTTAATAAATCCTTGTGGTTGTGACATATAAATGCTTTCCTCCAGTTCACCATGGAGGAATGCTGTTTTAACATCCAGCTGCTCCAGTTCCATATCCTCTTATGCAACCAAAGATAATAGCATTCGAATTGAACTATGCTTTACTACAGGTGAAAATACCTCATTGTAATCAATTCCCTCACGCTGTGTGAAGCCTTTAGCTACAAGCCTTGCCTTGTATCTTGGTCTTTCAACACCTGAGATTCCTTCCTTTACCTTGAATACCCATTTGCTGCCAACTATCTTCTGCCTCTTCGGTTTGTCAACCAGCTTCCAAGTCTTATTCTTGTATAGTGAACTTAATTCCACCCCCATAGCTTCTATCCAGTTATGAGCTTGTTCACTGTTAATTGCTTCAAAATAAGACTTTGGCTCCTCTCCACTCATCTCTTCGGCTGTAATGAGTGCAAAGGAGATCATTTCAGCATATCCAAACCTCTTTGGCGCTCTAATCTGCCTTCTTTGTCTGTCTCTTGTAAGGAGATAGTCTCTAGTGCCATTATCTTGTTCCAGCTCCAGCCTCCACCTGTTCTTCAACATCTTCAATTGTTGATTTGTGAGCAGTTTCTGATGGCTCCACCTCGAACTGAAACTTCTCTCCTGGCTTATCATGCCCCGGATTATTCCTTTCCACTGCTTCATTGTTGTACATTTCTGCTTCCCTGAACACTACATCTCTGCTGTTGAACGTTTTTGGCTCTCCTTTCTCTACACACCAGAGCCTATAACCCTTCACACCATCTGGATAGCCAAGAAACATGCACTTGAGTGCTCTTGGTTTCAATTTCCCTTGATTGATGTGAGCATAAGCCACACAGCCAAATACTCTCAAATTTTCCAGGCTTGGGGGATGTCCAGACCATTTTTCCTTAGGAGTCTTCAACTCTATAGCTTTTGAAGGACTTCTATTAACAACATACGCTGCAGTGACCACCGCCCTTTCCATGAGTATTCTATTCATCCTCTCAGCCAATCCATTCTGCTGCGGAGTTTTCCTCACTGTGTGATGTCTAGCAATCCCCACTTCTTTACAATATTGATTAAATTCATCACCATAAAACTCTAAGCCATTGTTTGTTCTTAATCTTTTAATCTTTCTACCAGTTTGGTTTTCTACAAGGGTCTTCCACTCCTTAAACCTACTGAAAGCATCACTCTTATTTTTTAATATGTAAATCCAGACTTTCCTTGAATAATCGTCTATGAGGGATAGAAAATACCTAGCCCTACTATGAGATGGCACTCGTGAAGCCCCCCAAAGATCACTGTGGATGTAATCCAGTGTCCCTTTAGTGTGGTGTTCTGCCATGGCAAACTTCAATCTCCTAGCCTTGCCATAGATGCAGTGTTCACAGAACTCCAAGCTTGTAATCTTGTCCTTTCTAAGCAAACCTTGCCTGCTGAGTTCCCTGAGTCCTCCTTCACTAATGTGCGCCATCCTCATGTGCCATAACTGAGCTGTTGTAATTCCTGTTTCTGAAATTGTTGCAGCAGTGCTAGCCACAGTTCTTCCCAGAAGCACATACAACCTGTTTTGTAGTTTTCCTTTCAATACAACCAATGAGCCTTTAGAGACTCTTAGCAAGCCTCCTTCAGCCTTATAGCAGTAACCCTGTGCATCAAGCATACCAAGAGAAATCAAATTTCTCTTAAGTTCTGGTATATGTCTAACACCTTGCAGAAGTCTCTCAACCCCATCTGCAAGCTTCAATTTGATGGAGCCAATTCCTAAGACTTGACAAGCCTTATTATTTCCCAGTAGCACCTGCCCTCCGTTACTCTTCTTGTGAGAAAGAAACCAGTCCTGATGAGGACACATGTGGAATGAGCACCATGAATCCAAGATCCATTCTGAGTGTGTCGTTTGATCAGTAACACACAAAAGATCAGCACTTTCATACCCATCTGACACCACATCTGCATCACCATCATCTTTAGCCTTAGCGCTTGCGTGCTTCTTCCTCTCTGGGCAGTCTCTTTTGAAATGGCCTTCTTTGTGACAAACAAAACATTTTCTTTTCCCCGTTTTGGACTTAGATCAAAAATTCTTTCTGTTCTTGAAATCCCTCTTCTCCGAACGTCCCTGAACATTCAATCCCTCTGTTGTAGCCTCCTCCTTTCCTTCTGATTTTTTCTTCAATTCTTTCGAAAACAGGGCTGCTTGAACCTCTTCCAGCGAAAGAGAATCCCTGCGTAGATCAACGTATCTGACAAATTCTCAAATTTGCTTGGGAGAGATCTGAGGAGCAACAGAGCCTGATCTTCATCCTCTATCTTAATTTCAATATTTTCAAGATCAAGAATGATCTTATTCAAATCGTCCAGATGATCTTCAAGAGATTAGTGGATCCCAATCAAATTAGGATTCTCTATTCCCTTAGATATCATTTCTCCATCCTCACAGTATATAGTATATAAAAAAAATGTTTATGAGCCATTTGATTTTCATGAGATTATGTGATCATCCAGAATATAGTATATAAAAAATTCTCAATAATATTCCTGTGGCCTCTTGGCAGGACATGTTTGCTGCAGGAACAGACACAACCTTCATAGTCCTTGACTGGGGAATGACGGAGCTCATTTTGAACCCTAAAGTTTTGGAAAAAGCACAAGCTGAAGTTAGAAGTGTAGTGGGAGAGAGAGAAGTTGTTTTAGAGAGTGATTTACCTCAACTCAACTACATGAAAGCAGTCATCAAAGAGACATTCAGGTTACATCCACCAGCTCCAGTTTTACTCCCAAGAGAATCCCTAGAACATGTTGTCATTGATGGTTACGACATTCCAATCAAGACAAGGCTCTTTGTCAATGCATGGGCAATAGGGCGAGACCCCGAAATCTGGGAAGAGCCAGAAACCTTTAAACCGGAAAGATTTCTCAATAGCCTTATCGATTTCAAAGGGCAAGATTTTGAGCTGATTCCTTTCGGGGCCGGTCGAAGAATGTGCCCGGCTATTACGTTTGGTACGGCAGCTGTTGAGCTTGCCTTGGCTCAGCTTCTCCATAGCTTTGATTGGGAGCTTCTTCCTGGTGTTACGACCAAGGATTTGGATATGACGGAAGTTTTTGGCATCACCATGCACAGAAAATATGGCTTGGATGTCCTTGCTAAACCACGTTTTCCTTGAACTAACTGAAGAATACTACTGTCCATTAAAAACTTGTGTACTATGTATATCTCCATACTCGTGATAAAATATGTATCCTATCAAGTCGTTTTTATGGCAATAATTAAATTCTGGAATGGTTGTGTAGAGAGTTGCGACTGATGTATTCCTCTCTGACGTGGCAAATTTAGATTTACTGTGTATTTTTTCTGTTTTGTTTACTTAGTGGGTAATTAGTTGTACAACTTGTATAATAAATACCAAATAAGGATTGCGGGTAAGTAATTTTTTCTTTTTTTTTTTTCTCTCAGATTGTTTTTCTGGTTTTAGAGAGAGATATATAGGAGGCTAGTCAGAGAAAGAAGAGAGTGAGAGAATTGAGAGAGCAAAAGGGTATGTGAGAGAATTCATGAAGATCTGGGTTTTGCTTTCAGTTCTTGGCTCTTGTATCGCTGTGAATCTGGTAATAAAACTTTTGACTTTCTTGGTTGTTCTCAGTTGAAGAGACAGCCTCAATTTCTCTGGTGTATTCTTGTTCGCTCGATTAGAGTGTCGGTTTCCTTGATCGTTCTGGAATCGTAAAGTGGGGAATTGCTCTGATTTCCTCACATGTTGCAATATTTTTCTTTGTTGTTTCCAAGTGGTACAATTTCAGATTCAAATTCCCTTTAATTCCATCAATATTTCTCTGCCGATCAGGCTCTTTTTTGGTAATCGAGAGGTTTTATCGCGACAAGGTTTTTTCTGTGGCCCCTTACTTTAAAAGGGTAGATCTCGAATCTTTCTTCATTGGAAATTTCTCTGTTTTTTTTTATTTTTTTATTTTTCTTTGCTCTGTTTTTGGATGCTGTTTCTTTATATTTTTTGGGTCCTTTCCGAGTTGTTGAGACGTTCATGACATTTATATTTTATTTCATTGCTTTTTAGTAGGGGTGTAAATCGGCCGGGTAGGGTAGGGTTGAGCCGAAAAATTGAGCCTACCCGACTAGTGCGGGTTGAGAAAATTTTAGGCCGCGACACTCTCTTAAGTCTACAAACCCGCAACCTTTCGGGTGACCTCGGGTAGGGTCCGGTTACTCCCGGGTAGGGTAGGGTTGAGCCGAAAAATTGAGCCTACCCGACTAGTGCGGGTTGAGAAAATTTTAGGCCGCGACACTCTCTTAAGTCTACAAACCCGCAACCTTTCGGGTGACCTCGGCCCGAGGTGTAAATCGGCCGGGTAGGGTAGGGTTGAGCCGAAAAATTGAGCCTACCCGACCAGTGCGGGTTGAGAAAATTTTGGGCCGCGACACTCTCTTAAGTCTACAAACCCGCAACCTTTCGGGTGACCTCGGGTAGGGTCGGGTTACTCGGGTTGGTGAAAACCAATTTTAATCTATGACTTCATCAATTTTACTCTAAGAGGCTCTTATATGCAAATAAATGATAAAATACTATTGTAGTAAATGAGCAATAAATGATATATGCAAATACTATTGTAGTAAATAATTACACAACAAAATTGCGGCATAATAAAATATAAAGACTAATAACTCATATCACAATATGCATAAAGCAAGAGTGATCTCAAGGACCACATGATCACTTTTTAGTCAATTAATCTGTGCTTGTTACATAAGAAATCATTATCAAACAGAACATGTTTTTCTTTCAATAGGGGGTCTAAATGCAACGTGAACAATTAAAACACTCACTTTGAAATCAAACACTTCCAATATAAATCAAGAATGTCCTAATTCAACAACTATGGCATACAAGCATTTTTTACACAAACCGTGAATCCAAAACATAAATAAGTTAATAGTTTAAAAGCATAAAGTCCATAAACTTATGAAAGTAAGAATTTGAAGTGTTGAACATTGTTTTACCTACTTTGAACATGTTCGGCCGGGTAGGGTTACCTCGGGTTCATGTAACCCCACCCCGCGCCCCTACCCGCGCAGTGCGGGTTAGGTATAATTCAAACCGAAAATTAAATAAAAAATTAGAAACCCGTGATTTTCGGGTAGGGTCGGCTCGGCTCGGCCGGGTTCGTCGGGTTCGGGGTGATTTCTTACAGCCCTACTTTTTAGTAATATCGAGTGGAGGGCTTATCAGAAAATAGAAATTTAGTTAATAATCTAGTTGGGATGTTATGTTAATTTCTCTAATTGTACATCTCTTTATTGGAAATTGGCACTACGTACCATAAGCTCTCCGCTTGTATATTGTGTTAAGAATACAAAGTTTACCAACGATCCGTAAATAGGCTAATAGAGATGTAAGCAAAAAGCAAGAAACAACCAGAAATAAATCTAAAAATCAGCTGGGAAGGAATTTCTATATAAGAACCAAAGTATCATTCTTTGTCAATATTTCAACGTCTACACAATATGCTTCATTCAAAACTTCTTTTTGGACAAAAACCAGTTGGAACGATCTAGAAAGAAAAAAGCATACATAATCACCCCAAATGGCCAACATATCAGTTAACAATAAATTAAAAATAAAAAATAAAAAATAAAAAAAAAAAAAAAACCTAAGCTGCATACTTTGGAACGGAAACCTAATCTGATGTCGCGTTAAATATCATTACTCGCCCTTCAATCTCCCAGACATCTAGCAGAAAAATATATCTACCATCTACTATATAATATAAGCCTCTTAAAGTAAGCATGTGTCATGGAATTTTTTTTTTTTTTTCTATTTTTGCCCTTTTTATTTTTCAATTGTTACTTTCTTGCATGTTTGTCTTTTATATATACTTTGTCTCTTATGTAACTTCCAACCAATTTTTTTTTTTTATGTGTCTCATTTATCATTTTTACTTTTCACTTATTTATTGCATACTCTTAATTTTCTCTTACCACTACAAGAAACAAGGCTATTAACGACCACAAAAAGTCGTTGTAAAAAACGCAAAGTCATCTCAAATACATTTTTTGGGACCACTTGTTGTGGCGAACCTATCGCTACAATTGATTCACCGCAAAAATAATTTTTGCGACGACAATCGTCGCAAATGAGTCGCTGTAATTATTTCATCGGTTATATCGTTAAGATGACATGACATTAATTATTTGCGACGACATTCTATGAATTAAGACGTCACAAAAGATGCAGAAATAGCTAACGTGGCTTATATTTTTTGCGACCACATTTATCGTCGCAAATAATATTTTAATATTTTATTTATTTATTCTCATTTTAATAATTCATGTTGTATATTACTATATATTTAAACCCAATATTAAATATAATTAATAAATAATAAATAATATAAATAAAATTATTATTATAAAAAGTAATTAATAAAATAAAATAAAAATGTAATTATAGTATAAATGTACGGAAATAAAAATTGTTACATTAATAAAAATTTAATCTCCTAAATTAGCAGCATCACTAGCATCACATTTGTCATTGTAAGTATTCTTCTACGTGTCGTAGAAGACTGCGTCTCGATCTGCGTTTCTCTTTCTCCCTCCATCTAATTCTACAAATATTATAAGAAAAATAATTAAATACATAATGCGATTTAAATAAAAAATATAATTAAACATTATGAGTATACTTACGGCGTCGTTGAGGTGCAGCATCGGGTGATGTAGAATGAATATATATAGTGATCATATAATACTGATGTAATTAATTTAATAAATTTATAATTATGTTTTAACATACCAGACTCACAGTGTGATGGCAACCTATAAGGATCGGGTGGAGGCGGTGCTCCCCCTAAAGAGCCAGCACAAGTAGCGATTGAGCCATACATGATTACCTGTTATGAAGTTTTATCAAATTTTATGGAAATTAACACAAGTTATATTGTAATATGTCTTTAACATTCTATTAACTATTTTATAATATTTATTTTTAATTTTTTTAATTAATAATATGGTACTAATTAAAATTTCCATCCAAATTTTTTAATCATCATATATATAATTCATTATTTTTAACTTCTTAATTTTTTCATAGGTCGCCTATTTTTTAATCATTATCACGTAATCATCATCAAACAAATTTCATACAAATTTCAATCTAATTACCATAAATTTCAATTTGAATTCTAATTTACAATTCACAAACTAAATTCAAAATCCAAAACAAAACCACAAACCACAACCAAAATACCAAAATCAATTTATAAAATACAAAGATATTAACTCACAAAATCTAAACCCGCAAACACTGGGGGTTGGAAAACGGTATGGCAGGATGGCTAGGAGGGTGACGGCGGCCGGAAAATGATGACAACAGCCGAAAAAACGGGCGGTGACGACGAGGTAAAAACTCCTTTTTTTTTTAGTTTTTCAGAATATTTTTCTCCGATTGATCTCCAATCCGGGTATCACCAAATCCGAATGGATCACCGAGACATACACAAGACCGCTTTTCGAACTCATGAGGGTCACTACGAGTTCAATGTTATGCCCTTTGGCCTAACAAATGCTCTGTCGACGTTTCAAGCAGCCATGAACCTAATTTTCAAACCTTTTTTACGGCGGTTTGTGATAGTTTTTTTTATGACATTCTCATCTATAGTAGAAGTTTGGAGGAGCATGGCCATCATTTTCGTTTGGTGTTGAATTGCCTAGTCGAGAACCAATTTTTTGCGAAGGGAAGCAAATGTCATTTTTTTCAAGGAACGGTAGAGTATTTGGGTCACTTAGTGTCCGGTGACGGGGTGAAGGCAGACCCTTCTAAGATCGAAGCGATGGTAGATTGGCTGCAGCCACAGAACCTCAAGCAATTGAGGGGTTTCTTGGGGCTCACGGGATATTACCGAAGATTTGTTGCTCACTATGCAACAATAGCTGCTCCACTCACCGAGTTGCTTAAGAAGGATAGTTTTAAATAGGCAGAGGACGCTTCCCAAGCCTTTGCAAGGCTAAAACAAGCTATGACAGTAACCCCGGTGCTCCATCTACCCTACTTTACAAAGGAATTTGTTGTCGAGACGGACACTTCAAACGTCGGAATAGGCGGAGTCCTAATGCAGGCTGGGCACCCTCTGGCATATTTCAGCAAGAAACTTGGGCCACGATTGATGGGAGCCTCAACCTACATAAGGGAACTACGGGCAGTGGTCGATGCCGTAGCCAAATGGCAACAATATCTACTCGGGCGGCACTTCATCATTCGGACTGATCATCGAAGTTTGAAGGAACTTCTTACTCAGGTAATACAGACACCGGAGCAGCAGCAATACATTAGGAAATTGATAGGCTACAAGTTCACCATTGAATATAAGAGTGGTAGGGAAAATGCAGTGGCGGACGCTCTTTCACGGCAACAT